ATTCACACTCCTCTTCTCTTCCTCTCCCTCTGTCTTTTTTATTCCCAATCTTTGGAAGCTATGAGCACCGTCGATCATCGGTCACCAGCCACTACCATCTCCTTTGCCGCTGTTCAAGTTCAAACTCAACACTTCAAGGCCCTCAACCATCTAACATCACTAGCTATTGTGTTGTAACAATCCAGCATCACCAGCCAACACTACTCACTACTAGACCTGTTCATGGGCCAGGTGGCCCGACGGCCCGGCCCCGCCCTTGGACGGGCTTGAATAGGTTTTTTGGCCCGCGGGCTAAAAAGCCCGGCCCGAGCCCGGCCAGGCCCAACCTATAGTTAAACCTAAGTAAAAACCCTTTGTGATGTCCATTTGAATAATTTTTTTTTATTTAAGAAGGTTGTTGATTCACTTGTAGGCCCATTGTTCATTTAAATAGGGGAAAAAAATATCTGAATTAGAATAGATAATGTTCATTTGAATAGGGAAAAATTCGAATTTCTTTTATTAGGTTGAGCTTTGGGCTTGGGCCGGGCTTCGGGCTTATTATCAGGGCCGGGCTCGGGCCCAAGTTGTAGGCCCGTTGGTCGGGCTGGGCTCGGGCTCGGGCCTAACATTTTTCTATTAATAAAGAGTAAAAGCCTGGCCCGATCCTAGCCCGGCCCGGCCCGACCCATGAACAGGTCTACTCACTGCCATTGCATTCACACTGCTGGGAACCCATGACTATCGCTGTCAAAGACTTGACCCACCTTCAGGAATCCACAACTTCCACCATCAATCTCCTATTGCTTTTCTCAAGATAATTGCTTGTTTTCTTTGCAAACTCAGTCATTTAAAATTCTAGATTCTATGCCTCATACCGGTCGAATTCGAATCAAATCGGATATTCAACTTAATAATCAAATTTGAATCCGAATTTAAACAATCGATATCCGTCGGATATCGAATCAAATTTGAATGTTGTTTTTCATAATCAGTTTTGAATTCGAATCTAGCTTGTTTCGAATCGAATTCGATCCGTTTACAGGCCTAAATATGAGAATTACCCACCTAGAAGATAGGTATCACTTACCCGGGTAAATTAACTTTCCCTGGCCCCCACATAAATCAGAAAAAAGAACATGGGTTTCTTGGTCAATAATCTCATTGACCAACTTTTACCCCTCTCAAAATCCCAAAAACAAACCCCCCTAATGTAAATTTTGGTGTACATTTCCTTCAGATTTGACTTTGTTATATTTGTTTGTGAGAAACAAAATAGGAAGTAAAATGTTGTATGTCCCCACCTTATATTTGCAAATTTTGCATCAGTTTTGGAATGAAAAAGTTCACCTCCAGTGAGTGTAAATGAACGCTCAATTTGCAAATATGTAGAGTAAAAAACCTTATAGTTTATATTATTTTGTATGTATTTACGCTGTACATGTACTCTTTCTAAACTGAACTGAAACAAAAAGTACAAATTTTTTATCAGGTAGGTGGACAAATCGTAGTTACAAAGAAATGGATGCAAAACTAAATTGAATGCAAAATTTGTATCCGGTTCGAATTTGCACTATGACTTTATTCTCATTTTTCAACAGCTAGCCAAAAGGCCCAAAGGGAAGTAACGTTATAACTAACCCTACGTACCCTTGATCAGTGCTGTGTGTTGCCAAAACTGGAATTTTACATCGAACCAGAAAGCCATCTAGGTTAATTAATGGTTCAGTGGTTTGACAACATTGGTCTTGATTCTCTAGGTATATGTTTGGCATCGATGCCATTGCTTAAGACGTTCGTTTTCAGTATTGATCTATATTTTCCAATCCCAAGAAAATGCCACATTAGTGACATATCATTACACCATTGACAGCAACCTACTGTTTTTTGAGAAAACATTAAATTCAATGTTTCTTCATATCACACTTTTCCAATTTCCAAAACTTGATCTAGAACAATATTTATTTTTTTAAAAAAACAAAACCAAACAAGAGGCCGTTTTCTAAAACACCCAGAATACAACTTCGACAGGTTGGGTGGATTTAAAAATAACCCAACGCCCAAACCTAAGACTTGTGCTTAATGCCCAATCCTTTAGTCCTACTGTCTGAGGTTAATCCGAATCTGCTTTATCGAGGCCCAGCCCGAACTGAAATTTAATACATTTGATTTCGGCTCAGGCTTGAGAAAAGCTCGGATTGGTCAGTTGGGTTCAGGTAAGCCTAGTCGCCCTAATATATTAAAAATGACCGTTAACCTATATAGCATTAGTAATTTAAACAATTTAATAGAAATATCCTGTATGTATGTATGTCTAGTTAGGCCATATTCGGCCAAAGGCAATGGCAATGCTAAGATTGTGATGGAAATGGCTACCTAGCGTTAGACTAAGATCAACCTCAAAATTAAAGAAATCTAGGGTTTTGGGTTCAGACAGAGCCTGGAACCAAAAATCGATGTCTGGTTAGTTTAGATTCAGGTTAGGTAGAGGTGTAAATCGGGTCGTGCTGCTCGTGGCCTAATATGAACTTGGACTGGCCCAGCATGGTTTGCGGGTCGTGCTAGGCCCGCACGATCATGCAGGTCGTTCCATAGCTATGCTGGGCCTAGGGTTTTAGGTCAACGGGCTGGCACGATACAACACAACTGAGTGGGCCGTGCCGCTCACGGCCTGTGGGCTAGCACGATCCATATATATTATTTATATATATTTGTATAATATTATATAAATTATAATTATATAATAATATATACTATATAATATATTAATAAAATAAATATTTTTTTAACTTTATTATACTAATTTATTTAATTATTGTATATATAAATAATTTTATACACAAAATTCATATAAAATTAAAACTTTAAGTTTTTTGTTAATTTTTTTAAATAAATAGCTTTGGCTCAATGCACAGCCCGACTTGAACCAAGACTCAACCCACAGGCCAACCCGGCCCATGGCACGGCACAGCATGGGCCCACACGGGCCTAGGCCGTAGGCCATACCGGACTAACCCCCAATTTTTCACCGGGAAGGGCGGCACAAACCGTGACGACCCACACTTTGCGTGGGCCGCCCACGGGCCCACTAAGACCTCTAGTTAGGCATGCCGAAGTTGCACCCCTATTCCATAATCTTAACAGTCCTATATACTAATCACATAGACGGTGTTTTCACATAAATACATATGCCATATGGTCTTTTCTTTTCCGTAAACAGTCCAGTGAATGCCATGTTTGTTATCGAACATTGAGATATTGATAGGGAACCCAACTGCATCGAATGAGTCTATTCAATTTTCCAATCAGTTGAAGAACTGGCACAATCCTTTTCTTCAAATAGTGGAATTTCATTTTATTTTTATTGAAAAATATTTTAATATAATTTATGAATTACCACATACATATCATTGATTTATTTATGATTAAATACAACAAATGTTAAACAAGATTAACTATGTGTTAATATAGGCTCAATAGCTAATAAGTGTGCAATGGTGGGGAGGGGAAGAAGTTGGCCGGAATACAGGACATTTTCTGACGGCATTTCTCATGTCCTTGTAGGAATTAGCTTTGGCATATTGCTTCTACTATTTGCCATCTCTTGGCTATATTGGGGAATCCAAAAGAGAAAACAGAACAAACGCAAAGAAATTTTCTTTCAGCAAAATGGAGGTCTTTTGTTGAGTCAACAGCTCTCTTTACATGATGGAAATGCAGAAACAGCAAAAATATTTACCGAAGAAGAGCTCAAAAAAGCAACCAACAATTATGATGAGAGTCGAGTCGCTAGGTCGTGGCGGTTATGGAATAGTATATAAAGGAATTGTACCAAACGACAAGGTAATTGCCATTAAGAAGTCCAAAATAATGAATGAAAGTCAAGTTGAGCAATTCATCAATGACGTGGTTATTCTCTCTCAAATTTATGTAGTCAAGCTCTTGGGCTGTTGCTTAGAGTGTGAAGTTCCGTTCATTACTAACGGGACTTTTCCATCATATTCATGGTGAGGGGCATAAATCTTCAATTTCTTGGATTGATCGCTTAAGGATAGCAGCAGAAACTGCATCTGCATAAATCTGCTAACATACTTTTGGATGATAACTATATGGTAAAGTATTGGACGAAGATAAGGCTCATCCCAAGTTGGATGAAGATAAGGCTCATCCCGGATTTGTATAGTCCCTGTAAAGTTAGGTTTTTAAGTTTTGTATTTTCTTTTGGATTAGAAATTGGTTTTTAGAAAGTTTTTGAGGAGCAAGAACTCCGATCGAATATATATATATATATATATATATCAATGGAAAGGTAGGATCTTGGGCTTCCGAAAATTTTCATGGTATCAGAGCGTGTGTTATTGTTCGCTGCGTGACCGACGGTTATCGGCTGCATATCTTGTTCTGACCACAGCCTATTATCGACGATTCTGAGTCCCAGTTCCTGGAGGAGCTTCACCCGAGCATTTATCTTCTCTCTCCTCGCTCTTTCTGCTAAACTATGGTTGTCAATTGCTTGGCCACGATGAGCTCGAACGTGATCGTAAGGAAGCTTCTCGCCGTCTTTCGCTTCACCTTCACTCTTTCTACTAAACTGTGGTTGTCAGTTGCTTGGCCACGACGAGCTCGAACGTAAACAGATTTTAACCTTCTTTTCTCGGTCCTTCTGCTTCGTCGACGCTTGGTTCCCGCTCAACGTTGCGGGATCGGAGGAAACTAGGCAGGAGCTCGGGTTAGACTCGGAATCGGTGGGCTTGCTTGTTCTGATTTCTTCGTGAGCCTCATTAGGATTGTCCATCTACCTCTTAGAATCAAACTCGACGTGTTTCTTGCAATAATCAAGCAGCTCGGACAAATCTTGTTGATCGGTCACCATGGCTGCCAACAACGAGAGGAATAGTGAGAGCTCGAGTAAGTCTGTTGGACCGTCTTCTCCTTTCTATTTGCATCCATCATATAATCCTGAAATTATTATCAGTTCGGTGGTCTTGAAAGGAAATAACTACGACGAATGAGCAAAGGCGATGAGAACTGCTTTCCATGCCAAAATTAAAATCGGCTTCATCGAAGGGAAGGTCACAAAGCCGGAGAACGACGCTCTGGAGATCGATCTCTGGTGGATTGTGAACTCGATGTTGGTGGCTTGGGTTTTCAATATTGCCAATCCTTTACTGCGTTCAACTATCACGTATATGGAGACGGTCAAAGAGCTTTGGGATGATTTGAAGGAACGATTCTCGATCGGCAACGGACCCCGGATTTATCAGATTAAATCCGAACTTGCTAACTGCAAGCAACATGGACAGATAGTGGTTGCATATTATGGAAAATTGAAAGCAATGTGAGACGAATTAGGAAGCTACTCTAAGGTACCTGTGTGTAGATGCGGGTGCAGGTGTGGAGCGGCAGCCAAATTGGTTAAAGAAAGAGAAGAAGAGAAAATCCACCAATTTCTGATGGGTTTGGACAACGATATATTTGGAACTGTGCGTTCTAACATATTGAGTATGGAGCCAATTCCAAATATAAACAAAGTTTACTCAATGATCATACAAGAAGATCGACATCGATTGTTGGCACGAGGTAAGGAGGAACGGGCAGATGCGGTTGGTTTTGCAGCACAAGGCTCACAGACATCGCGAGACAGTAGAGCTGCTTCAAAAGACAAAACAATTGTGTGTAACAATTGTGGTCGATCTGGCCATGAAGCAAAGAATTGTTTCCAGTTAATTGGATACCCTGAATGGTGGGGAGACAGATCTCGCGGTACATCGACCGGGCGTGGAGCAGGTCGAGGAAAAGGGGGTGGACCCTCTAGCGGACATGGCCGAGGTACGACGAAAGCTCATGTTGCTCAGTCATCGGCAGAGCGTGAGGTGGCTACTAATGCAGTTGTGACTGACGGAGATAGGACTGGACCGAACGGGCTTAATGACAAGCAATGGCAGACTCTTGTAGGCATGCTTAATGCTTACAAAACCRGGACTAATGAAAAACTTTCTAGTAAGAATTACTCCACTGAATGGATTATTGACTCTGGGACGTCATATCACATGACAGAGAATTTAAATGTGCTCGTCGACGACACCTATGATGTTGCACCTTGTCCTGTTAGGTTACCCAATGGTGCGCACACCGAGGCCGTGAAAGAAGGCACTGTTGAACTTGGAAATAATTTTAAATTGCTGCACGTATTATATGTCCCAAAACTCAATTGTAATTTATCGTCAGTAGATCGGTTACTTCGTGACACAGATTATATTGTGACATTTACTAATAAGTTGTGGGTGATATAGGACCACATCTCGAGGACTCTGATTGGTGCGGGTGAACAGCTTTATGGGGTCTATGTCTTCAAGGGTGTGGCACCGGCTTGAGCTTACAAGATAGATGGAATTGGGTCATGCGATTTGTGGCATCGGATATTGGGACACCCTTCTTATCAAACGCTTAGCTTACTTCTTAATATCAGTAATAGTAAGAACAAAACCTGTGATGTTTGTTTGAAGGCAAAACAAACTAGAGATGTTTTTATTCAAAGCAGCAATAAAGTAACTGATTGTTTTGCATTAATTCACTGTGACTTATGGGGTGCTTATAGAGTACCTACATCTTGTGGTGCTGTATATTTTCTGACAATTGTTGATGATTATTCTCGAGCGGTTTGGATTTATTTGTTGATTGAAAAAAGTGAAATTGGTAGAACACTCAAAAATTTCTGTGTCATGATTGAATGACAATTTAATAAGAAGGTCAAGGTGGGAAGAAGTGATAATGGAACGGAGTTTAAATCCTTGAAGTCATACTTTGACGAGCAAGGAATTTTATTTCAAACTTCCTATGTTGGGACACCTCAACAAAATGGTCGTGTGGAGAGAAAGCATCATCATATTTTGAATGTGGCTAGAGCGCTCAGGTTTCAAGCACATCTTCCGATCAATTTTTGGGGTGAGTGTGTTTTGACCGCAAGGTACTTGATTAACCGGACACCTTCGACGCATCTTGGTGGTAAAACACCTTACGAGATGCTATTTGGACAAAGTCCTTCTTATAAACATCTTAGAGCTTTTAGTTGCTTATGTTTTTCGCATACTCAGGATTGTGACAAGTTTGTCGCTAGGAGTAGGAAATGTGTCTTTATTGGGTACCCTTTTGGGAAAAAGGGGTGGAAATTGTACGACCTTGAGTCTGGTGATTAATTCGTCTCACGAGACATGGTATTTAGTGAGGCCGAGTTTCCCTTTGCCACTTCGAAACATCAACCATCAGTAACCAGTCCTCCCGTAGCCAAAGAAAATATTGGGTTGCCTTGCGCCACCCCTCCTGACATGGTATTTGAGTCACCTCATATAGAAGTCAGGGGGAGCGACACGATCAATGAAGAAGGACATCAGAACACAGGTAATGATGAGGAGGCAGGTACTCTTGATGAGACAAGGAGCCATACAAATTACAGAAATAATGAAACTCCAGCTACTCCTCAGCCCACCATGGAGTTATTAGGCCGCGGACCCCAACTATTTACAGTACTTTGTCACACACTCAGCTCATCGCTTAGACCCCTCTGATGTTTCTCTTGCATCATCTCAGTCCTCAGGTACTCCTTATCCCATAACTCATTATGTGATGTATGATAATTTTTCTATGATACACAAACATTTCTTGGCAACTGTTACTGCAGGCCGAGAACCTATTTGTTTCTCTGAGGCAATGACTGATGCTCAGTGGCGCGAGGCTATGCGCCAAGAGATACAGGCTTTGGAAGACAATGGGACATGGACCTTGGAAGACCTCCCACCTAGAAAAAAGGCAATCGGGTGTAAATGGGTCTACAAAATCAAGTACAACTCTGATGGATCCATTGAAAGATTTAAAGCACGGTTGGTAGTTCTAGGCAACACTCAAGTTGAAGATCTTGATTACAACGAGACCTTTGCCCCTGTGGCTAAAATGGTCACAGTTTGAACCTTCTTAGCAGTTACTGCAACCCAACATTGGGAATTGCATCAAATGGATGTCCACAATGCTTTTCTACCCGGTGATCTCCATGAGGAGGTCTATATGAAACCTCCTCTAGGTTTTTTGGCCTCCGGGACTAGAATGGTATGCAAACTCTAGAAATCTTTGTATGGTCTACGGCAAGCCCCCCAGAACTGGTTCTCTAAGTTAGGTGCTGCCTTGAAAACTTTTGGGTTTGAGTAGTCCTATTTCGATTATTCCTTATTTACATATCGCAAGAATGGGGTTGTCTTGCACGTCCTGGTTTATGTTGATGACTTAATCGTTGGTGGGAATAACTCGGAGTTCATACGCAAATTTAAATAGTATATGAACCGGTGTTTTCGCATGAAGGACTTGGGTGTTCTTAAATATTTTTTGGGCATCGAAGTGACTCGCGGATCATCGGGGATATTTCTTTGCCAAAGAAAATATGCACTTGATATTATTACAGAAGATGGCTTATTGGGATCCAAACCTGCTCACTTTCTTATTACTCAGAATCATAAACTTGCCCTTACTGACAGAGCACTCCTGGATGACCCTGAACGATATCGACGTCTTGTGGGCCGTTTGATTTATTTAACCATTACACGGTCGGAGCTCAGTTATTGCATCCATGTCCTGGCTCAATCTATGCAGTGTCCTCGTGTTCATCATTGGGATGCGGCATTACGTGTGGTTCGTTATCTGAAGGGACATCCTGGTCAAGGAATATTTTTGCGCTCTGATAGTGATTTGCAATTGTATGCCTATTGTGATTCCGACTTGGCGAGTTGTCCTCTAACTCGCCGCTCTCTTACTGGGTATTTTGTCATGTTAGGACATTCCCCCATCTCCTGGAAGACTAAGAAACAACATACGGTCTCCCGTTCCTCTGTCGAGGCTGAATACCAGTCAATGGCTACTACCAGTTGTGAGTTGAAGTGGCTAAAAGGTCTATTGTCGTCTTTGGGTATATCTCATCCTCAACCTATACACTTGTTTTGTGACAAGCAAGCTGCTCTGCATATTGCTGCAAACCCTATCTACCATGAGCGAAGCAAACATATTGAAGTTGATTGTCATTTCATTCGCAATGAGCTCCAAGCTGGCACCGTTGCACCTTCCTATGTACGTACCGGTGAACAAGTTGCCGACATTTTCACAAAGGTTCTCGGAGAAAAACAGTTTGATTTTTTCTTTCCCAAGTTGGGCATTCGCAATCCTCATGCACTACCTTGAGGGGGAGTATTGGACGAAGATAAGGCTCATCCCAAGTTGGATGAAGATAAGGCTCATCCCGGATTTGTATAGTCTCTGTACAGTTAGGTTTTTAAGTTTTGTATTTCCTTTTGGATTAGGAGTTGGTTTTTAGAAAGTTTTTGAGGAACAAGAACTCTGATCAAATTTATATATATATCATAAGATATCAATGGAAAGACAGGATCTTGGGCTTCCGAAATTTTTCATAAAGGTATCAGATTTTGGAGCTTCAAGATTGATTCCTCTGGATCAAACTGAAGTAACCACATTGGTACAGGGAACATTGGGTTACTTGGACCCTGAATATTTTCATACAAGTCAATTAACAGAAAAAAGTGATGTTTAGAGCTTTGGTATTGTTCTTGTGGAACTATTGACCGGAAGAAAAAAACTTGGATTTGATTGGCCTGAAAAGGAGAAAAATCTAGCTATCCATTTTATTACTTCAATGAAAGAAGAAAATATTTTGGAGATTTTAGAGGATAAAGTTTTAGAAGAAGCTAGTAAGGATCAACTTCAAGAAGTCGCTAAGCATGCAAAGAGATGTCTAAGTGTGAAGGGAGAAGAGAGGCCCACAATGATGGGAAGTGGCAGTGAGCTAGAGGGGTTGAGGAGATACATCAAACACCCATGGGTAGAACATAATCATGAAGAAGTTGAGTATTTGCTTGGTGAGCCATCACATTTACAAAGTTGCAAAACTGGTGAATATGATAGTTTAAGGAATCATGTGTTGATACCATTGGGCAGTGGGCGCTGAATGCTTCACATATCAACTTCATACTAATCTTCTTTCTTGTTCAGCCTTCCCAAACAATTTCTGCTCTATTGTATTGTATATTCTAGTTACATATATGTTCATCTTCTTTGCTCAGCTTTATTAAGGCTGAGTTTGGAAGGAGTACAAATGCAAATATGTGGAGCATAAAACTTTATATTTTGCATTATTTCGTATGTATTTGCTCTGTATATATTTGCATTTATAGTCTTCCAAACTAAGCTAAGCCTAAGTATCAAATTGTTAATTTGAGAGAAAGAAGAGAAATGATGCTTCTAATTTAATAACCTATTCTTGCCACAAATAGCTACATAAATTTCTTAAGAGTAATTTCTCAACTTACACAATGTATGACCCATTTAATCACTATATCGAGTAGCACATATATTTGTATTAGTATTTCTTCATATACTGTATCAGTGAGATCGAGCAAGAAAGGGTAGTGAATACCAGACTAATAGAAGAAGCTTACCATGAACAATAAAAGAATCTCTGTCAATGTTGTGTCCAATTTAACCTTCAAGTTTGCACAGATCTTGATACAGGACTCTGTTCCTTGTTCATCGTTAAGTTTTTATCTTAATCTGAAGTAAACTATCCATTGACATGGGATCATCTAATTTTTCAGTTTGAGAAACACATAAACCGGAAAACATTAATGGCTACATATATTGTGAAAAGTCAATATTTCTCAATATGTCCCATTTAGTCATGGTTTTTAGAACCGAACCGGTCAGGGCACCGTTTTCTGGTTTGGCGGTTCAACCATTTGGGTTGAACGGTTTGACCCATGATGTTATAAATAAATAAAAAAACAAAAAAATATTTATATATAATAAAAATACCATAGAAATTTAAATAAAATACAAAGAATACACAAAAATATAAGAAAAAGAACAATATATGAAAAAATAAAAATAATAAAATACAGAAAATACAAAAAAATACAGAAAAATTTCCAAATTGCTGCAAATAATTGACCAAAATGTAAAATCACTCCATTAGAAATGAGAGTAAATTGCTTGCAAAAATTTAAGCAAAACTTTCAGCATCTAATCATCATACGAAAATTAAGCAAAATATGCATATGAAAATTAAAAACAAATTAAGCAAGATTAATTAAACAAAGAACTAAGCCTCTGATTATCAAATGAAGTTTGAGGGTTCAGCAAGGCATATAATCAACAAGAAACTGATACAAAAATACAATCAGCAACTTTCTGCTAGTAAATCCATCAACTTATCGTCTGCTTCTCCTAATTATAAACTATGAAGTATTCACTAAAAGCCTTTGCCTAGCAGGTCCAAAGCGAAATGAAGAACAATCAGGGACTGATGAACCAAATGAATCAAAAA